GTTGACATTGTTGATGACGTCATTTTTTGAAGACAACGACTAATCAAAAATTTTTATAGTAAGATAATATCTTACCTTATTCTTGTCCATAGAACTGTGATAAATGTTGACAAAATATCTTGACAGATAAGCAGAAAAATACAACTATAAGAACAGAAAAGCCATGGCTCATCACTATCGTGAACCACTTCATCCACCACATCACTTAATTCTGAATCATCACTTCACATATCTTAAACTGACAGTGATGCCTTACATCATTTCATCTTGAGCAATTTCCTTCTGAAGTCATCCTCCAGCAACTATCCTACATGTCAGACACCTCAAATCACAGTCTTCCTCAGTGCTTCTGTCAACTGCATCGTCATTCATGAGTCACTCAATGTTGGACACTCTAAAAGTGTTTGTTGAGTTGTGTGACTTCTCCCATCACTTCAGCCTACACCACTTTGACTGGATTACATTTACAATATTAGGAACTTTGTCTTTAATGGTTCAGTGGTTATGATGCATCCCACTGATAGTACTTTCACACAGATCTCCGACACAAGAAGCACAAGTATGAAGAGTCAGTTCCTGCATCTTTGAGACACGTGTCTTCCACGTTCATCTTCAAATTAGGAATTCTTTAAAAATGTGTACACACTGAAAATGTTTCTACTTTGTCAGCTTAAAACTTAAGATTTATTTATATCAGGATCACTGCCAGGTTTTGTCAAGACTCTTGAACATTACTTACAGACAACAATAATGAAAACACGTTTATTAATTAAAACATGAACTAGATCCTGTTCCTGTATTAAATGCAAAGACAGAAACATGAAAAAGCCAAACCTCAAGTTATTTGAATTACAACTGAATAGAATGTAGGATTTGAGGTTTTCACAGCGGTGAGTATGAAGAATTCTGTCTTCTGGGTTGTTGCGCTGTGCAGTCTGGTCGATGTTTACCAACGTTTCAGAGGTCATACTGCCTCCGTCATCAGGGCGATGAATATGATGCCCTGATGACGGAGGCAGTATGACCTCTGAAACGTTGGTTAACATCTACCATACTACACAGCGCAACAACTCAGAAGATGGAATTCTTCAACTGAATAGAAGTCTGCAGCTGTGTTACAGACATGGAAAGTGCTTATGTTAGTTTCATAGCAGAAAGGCTTTGTTCTATTTTTCTACAGAATGGAAGTGTCAATTATATGCCTGATTTAACTCCAAGACCCAGATGTCATAAAAATATAATATTGGACTGACATGGCATTTTATCGTAAGTAAATTTTGTGAGCACAAGTGAAAAATAAATATGCTCACTCACAGTTAAATTTCCTGTATCCTTCACTAGGCAACAATGGAAGGCTTGCAGTATAGTGATTCACTAGTACCACTGAAACACAGGCCTTTAAATGTTCCACACACTCTTATAATAAATTACAAATTCTGGAAAGAATTTAATGATGCCTATTTTTCATCTTGAAAGGCCACTGGGAACGCAAAATTAATAATTACATAAATTAGCGATCCATTTCAGTGTATCATTTCAACATGTGCATATTATAACTATGCTACAAATTCCACAAGTACACACACCAACAGAATTTTCCAGATATAACCTCAAGTTTCTGCACTTCCGCCAGGTTTATAATTTTTAATACAAAATTAATATATATCTCTGAACTAAAATTCTGTCACCTACATCCAACAGTTCATTGGCAGCACCATGAATGCAAAAACTACATATAATCATACCACATTTAATAAAGATCAATCAACAGTTTTTGAAGTTACAGCAAGACAGGTCAGGTGATGATGACACAAATAAACCTAGATTTTCTTACATGGAAAATAGGCTAAACATATCTTGATCTATAAAAATGCCAGTAGGAATTAGTAACTTCAACAACTTCTCCAGACTAAATTAAAAAGTTACAGTGGAACCGCGGTTCCGGAGAAATACGTCTCTGTATTTAAATTATATTTACGTCTCTGTAATATAATGTAATGTAAAGTAAAGTAATGTAATGTTATCTTCAATGTCATCCATCTTGTTATGAAAGCGGATTGTTGACAGCAGTAATGTAACACAACAATGCCGAGTAAACAGATGACACAAGCTAACCATTGTTGTCGGTCCATATTTACACATTGTTGTCGATTTGTTGATACGGATCTTACACATTTTTCTGTCACTTTTTTGTAACAGTTTTGTGCGGAATGACCCTTCCATATAGACATATTTACGTAAAAAAAAATGTTTCTAGTCATATTAACATGCTCAGTCATGCATAAGACAATAATAATCTGCAACTTACATAATGATACTCCATAGATGGGTTCACACCTTGGACAGTGATACTTATCCAGATCATTGCAGAGGTACTCCCTCAAACCGACACAACTGAAAACATGACACACAAATTATTGGCTAACTGATCGTACGACTGTAAAAAGTGCATAGCAATGGTTTCATAAGGCTATAGTTTAAATAATTTTGTAGTCGTGCTTGTGGTCCCTTTTGACACACTAATTTCTTATGCAAGATGCTTTAAAGGCTTACAAAGAGAATGTTAACACTAAGCACTCATATTGTCATATCACCAATGCTGACTTGCAGTCTCATTACAGCTGAATCTGACTGATAGAGATGATGGGGGACTAACACAGTGATCATGAATAGTGGAAGAGTCATGCCATGGCACAGCTACCAACTTTTCTCAGTGTAGGATGCCACAAAACAACAGTTTCATATCTGAGGAATTTGAAATTAAAAATACCAGAACACTATATGAAGGACATCATGCACGTAACAGACATAAAATATTTATAAATTATAATAGTAATTAACTAAACCGAACAAAATAAAGAACTTAATGCACAAAGATACTGTATCATTAATGCAGTCTAATTATTGTATATCAGATGGCATAATTTAAGTTACAGGCAACATAAACCGACATATACTAAATAGCAGCAACCCTTTATGACTATTTCTGTGCAGGTTTCTAACCTGCTTTGTGCAGTATGAGTTTGTTATAAAAGGTACAGCATGCACTGGTTGGCTTACTATAATGCAGTTCAAGCTTATGAATGTGTGTCTGGTAGTCAGTGGTACTCAATCTTCAGCGTTCAACCAAACAAACTTTTTAATCTCAATATCTTCATTTTATAAGTACATTAGAGATAATTTTATTTCAGATTCAATATTTCGCTACGTTCTAGAAACATGCAATATAATCAAAAGCCGAGAGCACAGAACATACTATTCTCCGTAACAAACTTTGCTGCGTGTATTGAATTGTGTATCTACTTTAAGGTTATGTATTCAAAGGATTGGTATTTACACCTTCGCTCTCCGAAACGAGAGAAAGTACGGTAGTAAATCATAATTTATCCTTGCAATTCCCACTCTTAGTACAATTAGCGAAATAGCATATGCTGTTTATCACGAGATAAGACAAATATTCACATTTAAAAGCTTCACAAAATGGTATGACAGTCCAGTAAAATGAAACTAAACATCGCAAAAACAAGCAAAATACCTTCCATGAAACCAATCTTTGCAAATATCACACTGAATCATAAACTTATTACAGTCGTATGGCTGTCCACATAAACAGTAAACCGCCTCCATCACCACTTTTAACAATGTGATTACACCAAGCAAAATACACAATAAAGAAAATTGTCGCCATCAAGTACACCACCAGCGATGACTCGCAACAAAGATTACTCGCAGTGATGCACGAAGAATTGTATGAAATTCTACGAACAAGCATTCATGGCGCCATCTTGTACATATCAACAGAACTTAGATTTCGAAAGCGTCACGTTGTGCCATCTTCAGTTTGAACAGCTAATTATTTAATAAATGGTAATAAGTCATACAATACATCCAATTTAAAAAGGAATGTAATGCCTACTATTAAGAAACATTACTTCATTTCAAAATTTTCTGTTTCAGTTATGAAACACACAACCTTTTTTGCATCTCGAATTTGGAGAAAAGACATCCTTAAAATATTAAAACCCAATTTTGAGTTGCAACCCAGAGGTTAAAATTTACTCATATAAAATAAATTGTTTTCAATTTTTTGTAATTCACTGGCCTTGAAGTTCCTTTTTGCAGACAGAAATTCAGTTTTGCAATCTTAATCTAACTAGATATCACTCTCCATAAAGTCGGAAATTATTTTCTGTGTGAGTTTCATTATAGTGAGAAATGCTTGAAATAAACGTAGTAGATTCTAACCTTTTGATGCCATAGGGCAGCCAGAGAACATTTAAATATTTAGATCCCACAAATGAAATACTTTGGTAAAATTTATACAAAATAAAATATTTAGTGATCACAATATGTACAATATATCATCACCTTCACTTCAGGCTGTAGGAAGTCTTCCATGCTCTGTCTCCTTTCTAATCTCTTAAATGGCCCTTAACAAAATCTGGTAAAATGAGTTTGTACACTCATACAAAAACATCAAAGAATTATGTCACTGATCACAGTCCCACTGCTTATCATTAACAGTTGAACACAAGACTGAAATATAAAGATTAGTGTAAAAATTGTGATAGATTATTCCTGCCCTTTTAAATTGGCACAGGAGATTTTATATCATGTTCTTCAAACTGCTAAATACTCTAATCACTTAATAATATGTCATCTAAAGTACTGTATATTGTATAACAGGAAAATTATTAGGTTTGCTAAGTTGACTAAAAGATAGAAAAAATGAAAGGTGAGTTCTAATTCCATTACCTCCATCCTACCAGAAATAGGCATTATATGTGAAAGGTTTCTGTCTCAGTGGAATTATTAATTTGTCACATAATTCTACCTAGCCTATGTGTTAACACACTGCTTCCCAAACTTTTTCCTTCATTACCCAAAACTGCTTATCAGAAAGTCCTTTTTACTCAATGTAGGTAAAAAACTAACTGCACAGAAAACATATATGACAAGTGAAGAGAGATCAGTAAAAAATAGGAAGCAAACAATATGTTTGATGCAGTCTAAACATTTTAGCAGCCACAGAAAATTCGGTAATTATTCACCATGAATATTTCATCACCCAGGTCCCAGTTAATGAGTATAATGCCACTGCTTCATCTTATTTATAGTTCTGCAAAATTGGGAGCAATTGGAGGTAGAGCACACCTCACATCATATCCGGGGTTCAGCAAAGTTTCCTTTTGTGCTCTTTATGAAGGCAAGAGTGGGAAATGCTACTTCACACATGTAGGTGCTCTGAAACTGCAATAATTGCATAACGGCCTCCCCAGCTACCACACGATATTCATCGTAAATTGTTAACCAGAAAGACTCCAAATGGTCCTTTTTTTCTTCAAATAGCATTTTGCACTGACTGCTTGACCTAAGCTCCATCAATTGTTGTGCAAAACTATTAACACTATCGGGGATTTCAGTCAAGTCACACAGAAATGGGTGTGTCGTTAACCAAAGAAAAATAACTTTTACCCATTTTTGGGTAATTTACCCAGGTTTGGGAAGCACTGTGTTAACAAATGGTGAAGAAGTGTCTTAATATGGTTTCCTAGAAGTATCTGATTTCAAATTCAATGTTTTGGATTAACTCCAACCAAGAAAAAACTAAACAACTAAAAAGCTGTCAATTTACCATTAACTGATTCAGTGACAAATTAATTGGTAATGAAAAAAGCATTAGTATTTAATTTCATAAAATAGCAAATACTTTTATTAAATGAACAATAAAAAGGTCCAATAGAAAATTAAACTAGAAACAAGTTATTAAGGCCTGAATTAAACAATAATAATGGTAACACGTCTTGAGAATAAACTTTTCTGAATTATAATAATTGGCAATAGCAAACATACATAATTTACTTACACCATCAGATGATATTGCATATAATTATTTAAAGCTCAGTTTTGCATTCTGACTTTCTAAAATAAACACAACAAAGTTACACAACTCAGAAGATATGTTTCATCTCAAAAAGGAATTAAAATAATCCTTTACCAAAACACACATATATAAATGCAGAGGTACTCCATTATTTGGCTTCAGTAAAGTCAGGGTCCAACATAAAGGGAATCTTCCTCAACACTGAGTCATACATGAATATCACCAGTGAGTATAATACCACTTCCTTGCAGTGATTGGCAGCAATCAATATAATATAATATAATGAACTTCACATTACTAGCAGAAGGAAGATATACAAAAATATCACAAATATATGTTGTGTATTAGAGAATCATAACTGATAACAGGAAATTAAGCATGATAGTGGAATATATATGAGCTACAGGGAAGCAATATGTTTACAGATCATTATATAGTTCAATCAAAAAATTAATTTACTGCTTTTATAAGTTTAACTGTAGCAAAATGAAAGTGATCAACAGCCCCATAAAGAGAGGAAAAATAAAAATTTTAACTGCTGAATGTAATATTTTTTCATGTGTGAAATGCAAATGACATTTCTAAAAGTTTAACAGGCATATTAACAAAAGCAGCTCAAGGTACAGGAGTTACAAAAATTCAGTCTAAAAATGTTTAAATAAGGACATGGCAGTAGTGATTATAAAAGTGTATTTGAACTAAACAGAGTGTTTAAAGCTCTATTACAGTACTTGAGGAAGTTGTTGGGGAAACCAATCAAATCAGAAAATGCAAGTAACATTTTTTCCAGAATCACCATCATTCCCAAGTGTCAATGTTTTTACATTGATGTTGCTTTATATTATCATGATTATTTGATGGGGGCTCTGCACTGAGAGTTTGTGTAAGTACAAATAGTTGAAGTGCAGTTATCAGACTCAGAGAGTATTACTAGTAACAAGAACAGTGGAGACAACAAATCCGCCTAGATTTACTGATGTGGAGTATGCAGATATGCATTTCCTGTTTGGCTTTTGTGATGGAAATTCCCTTCCTGCATTCAGGGAATATCAACATCCAGATCAGAGGCAACCTTACCGATATGTATTTGAAATGGTGCATTGCAATCTGAAAGAAACAGGCACTCTCGTGCCACAAGCACATATTGGTCGTGCAAGACACAATGACTGGGATAAGGAGAATGTTTTGGATATCATATATGACAACACATCAATCGCCACTCATCACATTTCTTCTGCAACAGGATACTTTCTCAGAGTGTAGTATTGCACACTCTGTGGATCTCTGACAGAAAATAAAACAGGGCAACTTCCATTTAAATTTTAAACATCAAAGCAACTGAAGGATTAAAATATTCTTTGAAACTTCGGTGTCCATGATCTACTATTTAGAAAATATTAACATAAATTTCAAAATATCTAGGACCTTACTTATGCAGCAAAATCATTTCTCAGTAACAAACATTCTTCTTCTTTTTCCGGTTTAACAATGTTTGTACATTTTCCGGTACCCTTTACGGGTCCCCAACTTTTTCAGTTGGCTTGATCTATGGACATTTGGTAGGACTCCTTGGACGAGGGATCGGCCCGTCGCAAGGCCTCTACCTGTACACAGGACAACAACACAGAAGAACATCCATGGCTTGAGTGGGATTCGAACCCACGGTCCCTGGGACCAAGTGGCACAAGGCCCACGCCTCAGGTCGCGCGGCCACTGCGGACCCCAGTAACAAATATTAAAAGTGGTAAAATATCCCTCATTTAATTAAATGACAATACACTTGAATTAAATTAAGACATGGTGTAAGTAAACTTGAGACCAATAACAAAAGATCAAATAATGTAATTTGGTGACAATATGATGCCTCTCAGTATACATTTTAACATATTCATATACAGACCTGCCATAAGTTCCAAGTGGCCTTAAAAAGTCACCGAAAGAATAACTACAGTGCACATATCACACTCTGTTTTGTGATGTGTTTCACTTAGAGAATGGACACAGAAAAAAAAACATTCAGTACATGGGATCTAAAGGAGAATTCACAGAGTTTGTTCGAGCCATACAATTTTAAAATTGGTTGGTGGCATAATTCTTACAGCCAGACAGAATGAGGACTAGTGTAACACAAATTTTTTTATCTGAGGAGGGAAGTATTTTGTTTCAATTGGCCACATTGCAGGTTTGCTGTCAAACTTATGTGGGCAAATTTCATTGATCCAAAACAGGTGATTTGTATGGTTATGTAATAGTTATATAAACAAAGATACAATAAAAATTAAGGATTTATGATATTATTGAGTACACTTGTAATCAAATATAACTATTGTATTTTATATTGTAAACAATCAGGATATGTATTTTGACTAAGATAATGATAAATCATAGTTTCACAAGAATTTCTAGTCTTTCTCCGCTGAATGCAGATCTTACAGTTTTCAAACTTAATTTCTGCACACAAAGTATGAAGTCCTTCAAGATAAACCTAAACTACTTTCTGTAGTGTCTGTGTATGCGATTTTAAGAATAAATATGAGGAAGAAGCAAGGGGTAAATTATTATCTGTACCATTGCTGTAATATAAGGAGATAAGTATCCAAACATCCTCTAAAGCAGAATTCTTGATAATGCATAATCGAGGATCATAATCTTCCTTTAATTAAATCAGTCATGGCAATCCAAACTATGTTCATACACCACAAATATTCTTTTTCCTTATAAAATACATCAGGATTCAGACACTGGATACCTGACCCAACACATTAAACACATAACAATTATAATATTAAATAGCATGGTCAATTGTTCACAGACAGTACCATTTATTACTGTTTCTGAGCTGTTAATGTGTTTGCATCACACACATTCTTTACCGCTGAACAGAATGACCACACGTAGACTTGTATTATATACAAATACAGTTACAGTTGGGCACATTCTAATGTCTGATTTGGGGATTCACTATCTTGTGATGTGTGTATGAAGCGAATGTTGGGTACAGATGATAACAATCGTCCATTGGGGGATGAAACTCTGCAATCCTGCAACATGTTTGCAGTACAGCCTTTGGAATTTCCATTCCATACTCCCGGACCACATGAATCCTGTGAGAACCTCACAATATCACTAATAGGGTGTTCTGTATACCCACACTCATCAGTTTGACTAGAAACATGATTTCCTACCTTGTGATTATTAGACTCAAAATTGTTATGCATGTCAGGGCGATATTTGCGTTTTTTTGTCTTGTCCACCTGCGCGTAAAGAGCCATTATTTCTGCAGGAACTGCTCCATCACAGAGTTCTGATTCAGTTGGTTTCGAAGAGGGCTGAAGAAATATTTTTAATGCAGATGGAATGGAACGACACATCCTACTTTTAGATTTACCAAGGCTCCCGACGGCTCCATTCGGCTGAACAATTTCATATGTAGAATCTGGTGGCATCTGCTGCAGGTTTCGGACCATTTCGTATTCTGGAATTCTTATTATTGGATAGTCACTATCTCTTTGAATGCACACTGTCTCATATCCAGAGCTGAGGGGTTGCCTTGGTGTCTCATGCATACATTCTATGGTCTGAGCACCTTCTCCATCAGCATCTCCACGTTTGATCCTTGTGTTATTTGGATCCTGATCAGTGTCTATTACCACTGTTGAGTTGTAACTGCTTACACTTGGAAAAGATTGTAATGTGTCATAACACGTAGGTTCCTGAGTTTGAGTGAAGTATGGTAGTACATCACTTGTTTGTGCATCTTCTCTAGTAATGGCAGAGCACTGGGGCTGAAGAGCCACTACTGTTTGGAACCCTGGAGTAGCCACATCATCATAAGTACCATCTTTCGCATTACTGATGATCAGGTCATTAGTGGATGACTGAGGAGTTGAATGAGTTGCCTTCTTGGACTGGAATCTGATATGAAGAAAATAATCTATGTATCTTGCTCTATAAAATGTACAATTTGTGTTACCAAAATTTTCACACATAAACATGCTCTGGGATTAACAGTTATCTACATCTGGAATTCCTAAACTGTCCAGAAAAACATTTGTGCCATATGCCTTAAAAATAGGGTCAACAAGTTTGATGAGGCATGAAAGTCATAATTTAAAATAAATTTCTTCAGACTTGCTCATAAATGAGGATAACATTGTACTTGAATGGTTTAAAATTTGACTACTGTTAACATTTAAAATGAATGATAACTTACATTAACCAACAAACTAGCTGAATCAGACAGTACTTACCTCTTGGCCAGCAAAATACCCAGAACAGAAAGAATAATAACGAGGAGGCTGCAAAATATTCCAATTGAAAGAACTCCTGGCATTCCCACACCATCATCTTCAGAATTACTACCTGGCTGTTCAGGCTGCTGCCCCCACTCCTTTCCTGTTAGTTTAACTGGCAAGTTTCTGTCATCATCAGCAACGCAGGTGAAGTTGATCTTCTCCCAAGACCCAGAACTGAGGCAGGAAATGGTTACATCAACTATGCCTGAAATATACAAACAAATGTGCTGTAGCACTATAATGCAGTTGAGGTGGATATTGAAATCAGACTTTGGTCACAGGCCACGTGCTACAACAATTATTTTTATTATCAACTTTATTACTAATTTTTCCAAAATATTTCTTGATAAAGCAAATAATGGAATCCTGGGAATTACTTTTCAAGGTCTGATTGGCCTGAACTGGTTTTATCTGAACGGAGAATCCCCAAAGTGGGGGCAGTGATAGTGTTGCAAAGGAAGTAAAATGAGAAACCAGGCTAAACATTTCAAAGTAGGTAGAATGGAAATACATAGAAGACAAACCCAGTTAAAAATATAAATGACAGTAAAAACAACATTTTTAGTAGTTGTATGCAAAAAAACATGAAGGGTAATAATAATTATAATAAAACTAATTCAATTAGTTTAATAAACTTTTTGACAACAAAATAAACGTCAATGATAAGCAAGCAGTATCAAAACTAACACTCTACAATATGACAAAACAAAATATTTAAAAATACAAATAACACAAAACAAATTTAATAACACTTATCAATAACAAGAAAATATTGTCTGAGTGTAACGTAAGGTCTAAAATATCTGGACACTAAACCAATTTGAAAATTAAATAATTTTCAATTGCTAGTTAAAATGTCTGTATCTATGATCCACTTTCATGTAACCAAGGATGCAGAATTAAACTTCAATATTAAGATTCATAAATCGACTTGAGAAAGTTTTACTATTCATGACCAAAGTATTCTAATTAAATTCTGTGAAATCAGGAAAACATGCAGTGTCATTACATTATCCCAGGCATTAGAGTGGAAGGGCATATCGTTTTCATAACATAATCAAATTTATTTTTTGGTTATATTAATGAACAAGTGAATAAATGGATGCACATTATTTTATTACCTTAAATATGTATATTTAACCAACATAACATTTGTTTTATATAAGATGATAATAAAAAAGAAAGAAATATATTTAGACACTGTAAGGCAGTACAGAATTTAAGACATATTTATGAGTCTAAGGAAGTAAAATAGATTTGCTACTTCTTTGTGGAATGACTTAGATATGGCACGCACTTCAACTGTTACATGAAGACACAGAAACAGGGTTGAAAAGTTTTGAGTCAATGCCTAACATAAATGAAGTAATATGCTATGATGGAAAATATTATTTCATACTTAGTAACTTCATCCCATGCAAAGAGAAAACAGTTTTGTTATATAACATTGGTCTATGAACTTCACGTCACCATACCTGGATTGAAGGAGTAGCCTGCCTTGCAAGTGTATGTAGCCAGAGTGTTCCAGAGCGTGGACTGGTTAAGCAATTGCACTTCGCTATTAGGAAAGTGCTGCGGATATCCACAAGTGATGGCTGCAAATGAAACTGTAACTCATCCTTTCTGTCTCAATTAGGCAATACTCGCTCATAAGCCATGAATTGTCACATTACTGGTGATTACCCATGGTTGGTAAGGGATATTTCATGACACTTTCAACATGGTGGCAGAACAAAAAATATGATTAAATATTTTGCCGGTACACTGAAATAAATAAATAAATATTGTAAAGTTATGTGTATGTATAAATATACACATATTTTTGATCATACTGTTATTCATTTGTTTTTTATTTACATAATTTTGTGTAATTTACCTAGAGTTAAAGAAAGGATTCAGCAGATAACCAATGGTTTTGGAATGAGGAGTGACAGATAAAATAACATGAAGTATGAAGATTAGAAATCTGAGTAACTATTTTTAAAATTTTAGTATCTAACATGTAAAGGAATATAAAATGCAACTTAATATTAAGCTGTAAAATGTGTTAATTATTAAGACAATAAGAGATATTTACTGGTATAATTTAACATTAGGACAGCAACAGTTTGAACACTTCATGAGACACTTAAAATCAAGTTGTGGCTAAACAGAAATATTGAGGTAAGTTGGAATAATTCATGTTTTGGTTAGTAACAGTAGCTAAAATCTAAGCTCAGTAACAGGTTACAATCAGTTCAGTAACTGTAAATAAATCTAGAATTCAGTGACATGTATACATATGCGGCCACCATATTTAAAATCTGTCCTGGCCACTAAAATAATGTAATATTGCACTAAACAGATGTACAGAAGTGTGTTTTTATTGTATAAAAATTGGTCTTAAAACCTTTGATATTAATTATAATCCTTCTTTTTTAAAACCTTTGATATTAATTATAATCCCTCTTTATTTTACAATGTGGAAACAGTGAAATATAACTAAGAATGGTCACAGAAAAATAAACAGAGAGCAAACTAAATAAAACAAATAATGAACAAGGAAGAAGGAGACACCATGATTTTAGAAAGTACAAAGTTTTGCAGTCTTGTTGCAGTGACTTATTTTAAGTTTGGTTTCCTTCCATTTTTGCTAACATTGTAGTGCAAAACTAAATGAAATGGTATATAGAATGGCTTGGTTATTTGCACTAGTAAAGAATTTATTCATTGTTAAAATTTATTAAATATTGCAATTGTTGTACTGTGATGAAGTATTAACTTTTCAAACATGACACTTGATAACAGGGAGTTATTTATCAGAGAATATGCCTGTAAAATATGAGGAAATCACAAAAACCTCATTAACCATAAGCAGAATTTAAGTTTTTCATGGTGGTAAGTACAAAGATGGGTGTAGCACCATGTAGTGTGTAGAAATTTACTAACATTTCAGAGGTCCTTGCAATGAGGACAATCATCCTGATGATAGAGGCAGCAAGGACCTCTTAAACGCTGGTAAACTTCTACCAGACTACATGGCACTACAGCCCAGAAGACAGTCATCTTTCTCATTCATCATATCTCTACAGATCAATACGGCAGCTGAATAGACTTTACAAATGTAATCCAAACAAGTAATTTGCAATACAATGTCGACATCTGTTTTCTTTCTTCAGTTACGTAGAGATAAAGGAATTTATGATAATAAAATATTAATGATAAGATTTACGTAACAATTAGCTATAAAACTTGAAATTTGAAGGTTTATGTCAAACTTGAACCATTCCTAAAGTTAAAACCTAAGATGACCTCATTGTTTTGGGTTATGGATGTCATTTGTATCTAATAACAATATGACATCCTAATGACATTCTTGCAAGGAAATACATATCTAATAACAATATGACATCCTAATGATATTCTTGCTTGGAAATACAGATTAAGAAAGACCGAAGTATTCACCCTTCTCACTCCACACGCTTTCAATGTAATTTTATTACTTTGAATTTCAAAACTCACGTTTACATTGAGGGGCATTCCCAGACCAAATGCCCAACTCCGTACACACACTGGTTGTATTTCCCCAAATGATGTAACCAGACCGGCATCTGTATCTAACTCTGCTATTATAGGGATACCTGGTCCTTAATTCGGCACCGTCCAGGAAACCAAACAAAGGTGTTGGTGGAGAATCACACACGATTTCTGCACAAGCATTGTGGAATGTTTAGCAGGAGAGCACTCGATAAGATACTCGGCAATGTCCTCACCAAAATCTAGTTATTTTATGCATGAGTTGATGTGGCATGTTTGATCAAAAGGCAAAGATACAGATAACATGACTTGTTGAGACCATTATTTAATAGTCAACTCTGATTAAAATTTGTTCTTAGGTATGGTCTCTGTTGTCCTAATACCAGAAATATGTATTTTCACTCAGCTGAATTTTGTTCTTCACATCAACTCCAAATAAATGCACAAATGGTATATAATTTAAAAAATTGTAACATTTTTACAGATTATTGGTAATTTTCCTGAAACCTGTGGTGTCATGTAAACATATGGATAAAAATGTACAAAATTAAAAAAGGCAGGATAAAGCAAAATAAAATATAACAATAAAATTCTTAGTTTCCAAGGAAATGTTAAAGCAACTGATCAAATTCACACATTGATATAAGTTGGGAGACCACAAATAAAACATTCTCTTGCAGCTTAAGAATTTGACCCATAATTCTGATTACATTTCAACAAATTATCTAAGCTGCATCGCATTAGGCAGTCTTCTTGGGGTACTCTCCACATACATGAATACATTTATTCAAGTGAACAAAATGTCAATGCAGCAACAACACTGACCAAGGCCCTTGTTTGCTACAAACAATAAAAATTGAGGGTCGCCCTCAGTGGACTAGTGGCTAGCGCGCTTGCCACTGGACCCAAGGTTTGTGGGTTAAACCCGATCAAGGTTGATGGATTTTTAAGGGCGATAAAAATCCATAACTCAAAGCCGATGGTCTATGTCGTAGATTTATGGCGTGAAAGAAACTTACGGGCATGAACGAGATGTTTTGTAAGCAAAATTCAGAGGCAATTTCTCAGCCAAGTATCCCCTGATTCACTGCTAGATGGCTCTGGCAGTCAAATCAGGATTGAGTAGAAATTTTGCAGATGCTTGTCACTCACTACTCATAAATGCACACTTCAAGGACAAAGAAACCTCCCACATGGGAGGAGGCCAAGGCTTGTCTCCGGGCTGCTTCGTCATAGAAGAGGAATAAAAATTCAAGGTCAAATTTGAACCATCCTCATATATCACATCCAATATAAAATTGGGCAAAAGTGCAGGCTGTTTCGCAAGTCTCTGAAGCCATATCTCTTTAAATTTGAGAGGAACTTGAAAGTATTGCTATTTTCTGAAAACTTAAGTAATTAGACTTGAAGAAAGCAAATCATAATGTCTGAATTCTTAGTCAAACTTTTCTCACCATGGGTGGAGCACGTATGAGTTTTAAAATACATCTGCGCTAAGATTCATCCACGACATCGAAGATATTGCGGAAACTTGAGTGAGTAAATGTGTAATTCCCTGCTTTCTAAATTCAGATTTGTTCTGTCAAGTTTTCACTGTAACACTTTTTAAGATTTAAGTTAGGAGTATATAGAATGTAAATTAATAAATTTAGTGGTACAGTTATCAAAATTTAACAGAAAAAAAATTCAAGTCACTTATTCCTTTCACTATGCACTTACCTTCACATTGAGGGGCATGTCCCATCCAGTGGCCATCCCTTTCACAAGTTCGGTTTGGTTCAGCTAGAAGTCGGTAACCAAAATCACATGAATAGATGGCTACTCCATCAGAACCAACTACAACATGACCTGCTACAGGTTCCTCAGGCTCTCCACATATGCTCTCATCTGAAAGCAACATAAGAAACCCCTTTTACACCTCACAGAATAAATCTGCACATATGGAAACCAAAGCATCATTTATCTGGTTCAGAATTTGGTTGGGGAACTAATTCTTCTGAACGAGGTTTATTGCTGCTTTACTCAGTCTTTGCACTCGTTTGTACATAATTCCATTTGATGTTAAAATTCTTTGTAGCTGATACAAAGTAATTAAACATTTTATAAATTACTCAACAAAATTCTCTGAACAACAAATTACGTTTATATTCTTTTAAACTCCTTTATTTAAATACAGTAGAAGCAAAACCTTGGAAACTTTCGTATGAAATGTTTTGTGCTCAAAAGTATCCAACACTAACGGCATTAATTCTCTGGTTTGTGTTTTAAGTATACAACATAGTCAAGTTTTCAAGATGATGATTTTTGGGGAAAAATTGTGTACTATATTCCGTCAAGTAATCTAAACCAAAGCAAATGAGAACGTGAGAGGCCGAATCTCCCCTACCTCTGTACGCAAACACCTCTACTTCACAGAGGCCAAAGTAGTCCTGATCACGTCGGTCATCACGGATGTATACATAACGCCCCTGGTGTCCAAGGCCATCATTACAGGTGAACAGGATACGCGGGTTCTGGAAACGACCTTTGAACGTTGCGCACGGTTTGTACAGAGCTTCGCTCCTTGAGAGAAGCTGGATTATAAAGATGGTAAATTCCTGATATGAATCTGAAAAAAATAAACAACTGCTTTAATCAATCACAGATCACTGACTCATTAAATCACAGATGGTTACATAGTTTACTTACGAAGTTGGTACAATGTCAGAGCTGAATGAGATGGAGTATGAAAAATAAAGTGGAATGAAATCGCTCATAGCTTATTTTAAAAATGTTAATCCCGCACCAGCTAGAATAAGGACTCTGGTCTTTTCCAGACTTGTAATCTTGGTAATCTTTCAGTATTCAGGCATCCTTCAAAGTGTTCATTTGTGAGACGCTTCCTAGTTCTTGATTTAGCCTAAAGTTCTTTGATAAGCTGAACAGTGATAATTACCGACAAATAATGACGTATTTTTCACCATGTAGGATGAAACAATATCACAAAACTATGTGTTTAGGCTGTACACCCACTGACGGGCTGTGGGATGAAAGCCCTTGATCCAGAAGGACTGAGGAAAAGTATGATAAACTTTACTCCCCCATCCTTCAAGACGTCGTTTAAAAGGTAACTCAAACAGTGACGTGTTTTACTTGAATTTGGCTGCTATCAGTTTCGAGTTCCGGCAGAGGCACCGGATATCAGAGGTTTCTCGTGATTTTCCTCAGTCCTTGTATGTGAGTGTTGAAACAGTGTTCTAAAACGGGAACTTCCTTTTCTTTGTCTTTTTAATTTCGTCCTTCAGCTCAAACGATGTTCTGTACGCTTTGTAATTGATACAGCACCGTCAAGTCGCTCCATACCAAAATGCTTTTAAAACGTATTACCAACCAACCAGAAAACTAACTAAGGGCGGAGTCCTGCGCAAGCGCAAGACATAGTCCCCTGCAAGGTAACACCATTCCTACGTACGAAACGCATCGCTGGAAATGGTAAACAGAGCCTTATAACTAAAACGGGAATATGCTTACGCTAACGGGGGTTTTGTCGTGGCGGGAGCCTCGACTATTCAAAGTGGGGTCTGTTGCTGCTGATGAAAGGTTATCTCGTCAGGCAACATGTCCTTTGTGGAAAGGATTTTGGTTTGTTGGTTCTCTGGGGTTTGAACCCAGAGAGGATGGGGCCGCTTCGGTTGAAGGCCTCCGCGACTTAGTGGGGAGGAACGTATTATATTTGTTTACACATTTACATAGGACCCTATAATTTTCGCACATAGTACGTGTTACCTCCCAACAGAGAGCAGAAAAAAATAAATGTCACACACGAAATATATTTAGAACAGAATATGCTAAGTTGTACGGAGATATTTGGTTTATATCACGGCATTGTCTAAGAACCAACTAAAGAGAAATGACAATAAATAAACGACTAAACAGTTATGTAGTGTGTCGCTTCTGTGACGTGGACGTGTTTTTGTTAGGAGAATTAATTTATAATCCCATGAAAATGTCGGACCACGAAAGTTAATCTGGGCACAGTTTTCAAACGACTGAGTGGTGGGGTGGGGGGTCATTTTAGAAGGCTTACATTTTTTAGAAGACTTTTCTTGTTACTTCTCCATCATGTTTCACATGCAGCCATCGCTTCCGTCACCGAAAGGCAGAGTTCTTATGTAATATTCTCTGTTAATTATAATCCGTTTTCCGTTGTTAGTTCTAACACTTGGATTTTCTGAACAGCTTTGTGACTGTAAAAATGGCGCGTGGCTCCATCAGCCTATTCTTTCGTCATAATTCTGCTTCATAGCTTGTGGAGTCAGTTATTAATAATTTCTGTTACATCTACTACACTTATCCGACGTCCACATGCAAAACCCAATCGATTATTCCCTGATTAAAAGTTATTAATTTAAGATGCATCAACTACAGAGGTTATAAAAAAGAACGGACGAGACGTCAACATTACCTTTGTTCAGTACGATTTGAGTTTCTCACGGCGGTGAGCACGAAGATGGCTGTCTTCTGGGTTATAGCGCCGTGTAGTCTGGTAGAAGTTTACCAACGTATCAGATGTCCTTGCCGCCTCCATCATCGGAGCAATGAGTAAGCCGATCGTGTGGAATCGGTTTGAGATATAGAAACCAGTCAGTCAAGACAAGACCTTGGCCGAGATAGTGGGGGGTAGGGTCAGGATCAGGCAAGGACTTTTCGGGCGGCTCACTCATTGTCATGATGACGGAGGCATCAAACATCTTTGAAACATCAGTAAACTTCTACCAGACTACACAGAGCTACAAGCCAGAAGACAGCCAACTTCATTACCATTGTTTGTTTCTTAGTCTATTTAAAATTTTGCATAAATTTCATAGCTTGTATTGTGTCGAAAGAAAATAAATGGTGGGAAACGTACAGCGATGGCCTACAGACAAGACAGACGGGGTTCGATGCTCGGTATAAATTTAAAGGTTTCTTTCTTGCCGCCATGTCCACCGCGGCACTAGTTCTCCCGCTCTGACTTATATCCAATGTTTATCGAAGACTCTTTCTACTCTTTCTAATGGGTAAACCGACGGATACTTCCATTTAGTACCGAAAAGAATACATGAATATTTATATCAATGTTCCCAATAAACCACCAGGGCATGTTGGTTGGGCGCAAGGTTTTGAATGGAAAATTGAAAACAATGTAGGAAGAAAGAGCCGTGGAATATTTTAAGTACTATCTCATCACGAGTTTGAAGATAGAAGAATAAAACAAAAGAAAAAAGCAGACTACGTAGTTTGTCGACACGAATTCAAACCGGGATCCCCCGATTATGAAGCATAAGTGCCAATTACAATTTTATAATTTTATCATCTTTCTCAGTATATTTTATGGAAGTTGTGTCTAGATATTATTAATATAACATTATTGTTGAGGTGGTGTTATTGATGTTTATATCAGTCTGTGAAGTAAAAGATTTGAAAACATTAATGAAATATGATTGAATATAGAAAACAAAATGAACTAAAATAATAAATAATAGCAAATAAACATACCATATATGAAATAGCAATCGGTTCAGATGTGTTCAGAGGAGAGATCCAGAAGTGTTACCATCTCGGAACAAGGTTCGTTATTGACTGCGGTGTAAGTGGGTGAAAGGTGGTTTGTCAGGGTTGGGGTCAAGGTACTGGAGTGCATTAAAAATGGGGTTATTAAGAAAAATGTTATTGTCATAAGTGCTAAACACTACATCGTGAAGATCTCAAGAGTGTTTGTGTAAAAAAAAATTACATTGATTTATTTCGATATTTAAAACACCAGGCTAAGAGCAGTTAAGTTATCGTCTTACCTTTAATTATTTAACGATGCACTACCAGCGATTGGTATAAGGAAAACGATCTTGAATGGTGAATGAAACATAATGAGGTAACCTATTTTAAATTATTTTCCGAACGTTTCGGTGGAGAGAGACAATAAAAACAAGAAAAAACATAGCAAGATAGCAATATTCCAGACAGAGATCGAACTCCTGCGATATAAGCTTGTGTTCAGTAGGTTTTCTGACCGAATCTTAACCAGACCGTTCTGAGGTTTCGTGTGATTTTACAAGAGTCCTCAAGTAGCCTAAATGATGCTATTACAGGGAACTATGTTGGGAATTGCCAATTGTTTGAGGTATGTATGGAAAACACGACAAATACCAAAACGTCATGTGCATAAAATATACCTCAGACAACGGGCAACGTCCAAAACAACGAATCAACCACTGTCAAAAACCTGCCCAGAGTCACCTGTAGAAGGCTACAACGGATTCCTCCAAAATATTTTCATCGTAAATAATAATGGCCTCACCACATTGGATGATAAATAACCACAGTAATCTACGGCCAACTGGTCTATCGACTGAGAAACCGAACACTAATAGACCTATCTACGTCCTTAATAATCAGAGAGTTAGTCAATTATACTAACTCTCTAGTTATACAGGATGGATGGGAAGTAAGTAGGCATTGAGAAATGGTTATAACCTCTATATTTCCAACGCAAAGATATTATTTAATGCCTACTTACTTCCCACCCATCTTGTAGATCCCATAAGATTCAACATCACATATATCAGAGCCTGATTTTTAAGACGATTCTCAGCCACTAATTACGTTTTCATCGTCACAAAGATCCATTTTAATATCATCTTTATACGTCTTCCTTGGTGTTTGGCGTTGCTGAATTTCAAGTTATATTCACACAAAATTTTAGTGTGTTTCTTGTTTCCGCAATTCAAAATACATTAACAGCCCACCAAGTCGCTAAACAACTTACGAACGAACATATGTGTAACATTTGTCCAGCGTGAATCACTAATCCTTGTTTCATGGGATATACGAGTAAGTCGTAATTCAGTCAGGGGCTCTGATGGAGGCAAAGGGAGGACAAGGATATCATAATTTATGTAGTGCAGTCAATCATTTGCATATCTGAATCGGCCTGTGGCTGCTCGCTTGCTCCTAGTGGACAAATATGAAGCTACACACTCATAAAAAGAACTAATACGCAGTGCTGCCATGTTTAAATTACAGCCCGGTCTACAACCAATGTCATCGAAATCTATGTTTGTTGTAATAGGCTATTCTTCCATCCAAAGTGTTCTACTAAATAGATCAAGGTTTAGAATTAATTCTGAATTGGAAAAGTCACCGAGCGTGATTTTAACCCGCGATCCCAGTGTTGGTGTGTTCCATGACGGCAGGAGGTCACTGTAATTAGCTCAAAAGTTCTTCTTCAGGCATATCCAGCATTACGATCAAATATAATAGAAATTAATATTGTTAAATATATCCAAACATTAAGATATTAAAATTTTCTTCTTTTATCTTCATTTATTTCCTTTTAATTTTTGTCAGAGCTCTGAAGTATAAAAAAGTGCTGATTTATGTAGTTTAGGGTAAAGGTGGCATCAACATGAATTAAAATCAAATCATGTGAACCGAATCAGTTGTGGCTGACCGATTCGACATCATCTCAAGAACGAAACGATTTGCAAATTAGGGTCTCAGAGCTTCGTTACATCCCTCGAAAGACTTTTTAAACAGACGTTGTAATAAAAGTTTTAAGCTGATTTTACAATGAAAATATTCTGAATGGGC